CAGACAGCCTGGTCTACCTCCCCCAGGCCTCCTGACAGTCCCTTCTCAACACAAGGCTGAAAAGTGTTGAGTCTTGAGTCAGTGATCATCTTCCACTCCAATGCTCCTTGCACAGGGTATGGGTGTCAAGGCCTACCCTTGCCCCTCTCTCCTCTCTGACACCTTCCTTCCTCCCTCTTGCTGCTCAGCCACATGAATCTCCAGCTGTTCCTTGGAAGCTCCACTTTGACTCCTGTTTCAGGGTCTCTGTTCCCTCTCTCTGTAGCACCCTTCCCCAGATCTCACAGTGGCCTCATTCCTCACTTCCTTGGGTCTCTTCTCAACCAGCGTTCCTTGATTACATCTTTCAAGATAAGACTGATAGGCACCACCTGTACTCCTGGGGCATTTATTTTTCAGTTTTTGAGGGGCAGCAGATGGAATCCAGGAGAACCTCGTGCATAGCATGCAAGTGATCTACTACTGACTTGTACCCCGGCTACTCACTTTATTTTATTCAATAACCACTTTCTGACATATTCTATACATTGCCAGTTGAGTTCTTTTCTTTCCTCACTCTAGTACTACAGTAGAAGTCCATGAGAGCAAGGTTTTTTTTCTCCTGTTTTGTTTATTGCTCTGTCTTCAACATTTATAGCAGGTCCTGGCATACAGCTGATATTCAGTAAATGCTCATTGGATGAATCCAGTGAAAATGAACAAACCTGGCATTCTGGCCTTGACTTCAGTCTTTCAAGTTTGATATCACAAGAACATCCTCTCATCACTCATCCTGTACGTGCACTAGGCCAATGGTTCCTGGATGTTCAGGCCACGTGATTTCTACTTGGACAAAGACCACAGATTAAAGACAAATGGGGCTGGGAACTGTGGAAAACGAATGCCAATGTGACAGTCTAGGTCACTTATGTGGTTCCCTGTAGGGATCCATTCTCTGATAAGACCAATGAGAATCAAGGCCCACACCACCCAGAAGGACACCACGACCACCTGGGTTCTTCGTTGCATATGATGTTGCAGTTCATTCATTCAACGCTGGGTGCAAAGTAAAGCTTCTGACACAGAAGCCACAGTTGCTGCTCAGGCTTGTGACTCACGTCAAAATCCAGCCCATCGTTTCACAGTGAAGGAGGCCATGACACAAGAGGACTTGGTCCCATTCGCCCGTGGCAAATCGCCTCCATCAGACAGACCTCTCAGCCCCTCCCCCTGCCAGGCTACTGGTGAAGTCCCAAGACCACTGATGCTTATTCAGGGGGCAGGGGATTGTGTTAGTTCAACAAACTGAACTTTTAAACCAAGAACTGGATATGCATGGTAGGGACCCCACTGCTTACCCCTCAGTGAATACTCAGGACAGGGAGACCATTTGGCTTCTGCATACATGGATCACTGTGGGTGCTTTGGGACAGACATTTGGACTCAGAGACCAACATGAGAACGGTGTGCGCATTACACCATGTGCATAGAGATTTCTGTCTTTGTCATGCTGAGACAATGACTTAGGAACCAGCCAGGATAATATATGATTGGGCCAACTCTTCTAATTAGTTTCCTATTTTCTAATAGTGATTCACAGTTGAGAAACCTTTCAAAGCCATGCAATGAAAGTCAACATCCCCAATGATGTCACCTGATCAGTGCAGGCCCCCTGATTTTAAGTGACGAGAAGGACACTTCACCTAATCCCAAAACTGGTCCCAGTGTCATGAGAAAAACATCAGACAAACCCAGACTAGGGACTTGGCTGGGTTCCTCAGGACTGTCAAAGTCATGAAAAGAAGATAAGACTGAGAAGCAGTGTGCAGGTGGCTCAGGCCTGTAATCCTAGCTACTCGGAGGCAGAGATCAGGAGGATCACAGTTCAAAGCCAGCTTGGGCAGATAGTTCGTTAGACCCTATCTAGAAAACACACAACACAAAAAAAGGGCTGGTGGAATGGCTGAGGTAGTAAAGTGCCATCTACTAAGTATGAGGCCCTGAGTTAAAACCCCAGTACTGCCAGGAAAAAAAAAAAAAAAGATCGAGAAATTGACACAGACCAATGGAGGCTGGGCAAACGATGCTGTGCAAAATGGAATCTGGATGTAATACTGGACAGGAGGACATGAATGGGAAAATGGGCCCATTTAGTGGAGAAATGCTACTCCACTAAACCCACTGAGCAAGCAGGCACTTTACTACCAGGCCCCAGTGATGAAATGGGTGACAAGCTGGAAGCAGAAAAGCCTGCACGAGCTGAGCTGCCCTCTTAGTGTGACGATACCTCTAAAAGACATGATTCCTTGGTGTTGTGTGAGGTGGACTCACATTCCAGATAGCTCATTCGAGAATAATTCCTGACTCTCCAGCTGTTTCCAGAACTGTCTTCCTGAAGCTTGGTCCAGAAAACATATGTGCACTCAGTTGTTCTATTTTTTTTTCAGCTTTTAGGTGAGAATCTCTCAGTATTCTCACAGCCCATCCCTTCCTTAGCTCTTCCTTATCGTATTTTGTGACAGCTACAAGCAAAGCCATGAGCACTTCACTGCTGAATGTAGTCATGCCTAAGTACCCTTTGGGCTCAGTTCCAGACAAAATCTGCAGATCTCAAGTCCTTCATATAAGATGGCATAGTATTTGCACAGAACCTATGATGATTTATAATACCTACTACAATGTAAATGCCATGTAGACAGTTGGACAGTTGTCATGATGTGTTGCTTAGACAAAAACAATTTTAAAAAAGCTTGCACATGCTGCTTTTAGGCCTTTCTGGAATTTTTTTCCCTAATAGTTTTGATCCTTAGTTGGCTGAATCCTCAGATTCTGAACCTGCAGACATGGGAAACCAACTATATCTCAGAACATGCCTCACAATCACACAGAAATATTTGACAGAAAAAATGGAAAATAGAACTTGGACACAGAAATGAATGTGCTCCCAAATGGTGCCCACCTCCGGCCCTCATGTGGCATTGCTGCAGGGGCCTCTAAGATGGCTGTCTGGTTGTCCTGGGGCCTCACCTCTGTGGCCTTGGCCCAACAGCCCACCATGGCCAGTCCCTCCAGAACCCTCATGGCTCACTGATGCCATGAGCTGGACAGACTGTGGTGTGGTCCATCACGCTCCACACGCTGTTAAGTCATCCTTGAATCAGTGCCCCACACTGGGTGTGGGGACTGCGTGGCTCTGGTAGGCTCATGACGGAAGGGCCTGGGCTGCTCTGAGAACTCTGAAGTGATTCAGCAGACAAGACTGGGAGTTGCATGGGGGAAGGTGGCAGGGCCCAGCCTATGCTGCAGGGAACCCAAGGGCTGCCTGTGGTAGTGTGAGGCCAGCTGGCAACCCCATGAAGAGGCGGCAGGATTGAGTCATCGAGCTCAGGAGTACCTATTACTTCATCACACAGAGAAGGGGTGGCCTTCCTGGCTCAGAACTTCTTTCCCATCTGCTGCATTATCTTTCTAATCTGGGACATTGAGGTTTCCTGCCTCCCTCCTTACTTCCTGACCTTGCACAAGCAGTTCCCTGACCTGCCAGCACCTCCCCGCTCCCATGATAGGCAGTTCTCCCAGGAGGACTTCCAAGTTCACTGCTCCATAGTCCTCACCTGGACCACAGCAGCCTAACCTACAGTTTGATCCCTTCTGCTGTCAGAATGAACTTGCTGAGACCCTGACCTGATTGGGTGGTTCCATGCCTACAGACTGCTTTGGTCCCAGGTAAAGGTCTAACCGTTGGTGGCCTTGTGCTTTTCTTAATCAGGCCCAGCATGCCTGCCTCCAGAGCTCCTTCCTGACCATAGTGAGCTGAGCTTCTTCCTTTCCAGAGTAGCTTGGTCCTCCCACTCCCTTCCTCTGCTGACTCCTACCACCTGTTACCCAAACCAACTCACGGGCCACCTCCCAGAAGCCTCCAGGGTGCACCTCGCAGGTGCCATGCTTCCGTGTGCATGGTTCTTCTGGGGCACCGAGCCCGTTTTATGCTTATTTTCTGCTGTCTTAGAATAACTTTTAGAAAGGCAGGGGCCACATGCTCAATGCCTGGCATGTCCCACTACTCAGTGTGTGTTGTGAAAATACCTGAGTGTGATGATTGAGCCTGTGTCACACCGTAGCAGAAATGACTACTTCCACATGGCTTTTGACTAGAGACACTGCTTCCAATACCACAGGAGCCTTGGCCTGAGGAAAGAAAGCTTCCTCCCAGGTGGACCTGGGATGCGGTCACCTGGGCTGAGAGCTATCAGGGAACCCTGCAGCAGCATCCAAACATCCCTGTGATATGTGTGGCCTCACTAGTGGAGGAGCACTGGTATTCCCCAGTGTCCTGAGCTAGCACTACAAAAAACTTCATGCTAAAGAAGGGATGGAAACGATAGGTTGAACAAAGGTGTCTTTGCCATAGAACCTTGTGACCTTTGATTTGCTACAGATGTTCAAATCACAAGGGCTGGGCAGTTGACAATATTTCTCAAACATATTTGACCAGAGTGTTCAAAACCCTAGTACTGCAATCCCCCCCAAAGTAAAATAAAGCCCCCCCCCAAAAAAAAACCTCAAAACAAAAATCAGGCTGGGCCTAACATGCATTAACATGCATGAGGTTCTGGGTTCAAACCTTAGCACCACACAAAAAAAGGACTGGGGGCATAGCTCAAGTGGTAGCGGTGCCTGTCTAGCACTGGGAGGCCCTGAGTCTAAGCCCCAGTACTGCCCTCTACCAAAAAAAAAATTACATACATTTATATATATATAAATATATATATATATACAGCCAGAGAACCACAGGCCACCATTGGACAACTTTGGGAAACACTAGCCCAAATTACTAGACTTTTATTGGATGACAAAGGACCAAGAACAAAGTATTTGCTTATTATTCATCTATCATGGTCATTCCAAAACATGCTGATGGTGAGGACTAAGTGCTTCGTTCTCAGAGCTGAAGAAAAGAGATGTCTTTATGGAATCAAAAACTTTTATTCAAAAGAAGCATTAGCAAAATAGAGATCATTGCTTCACAAGTGCAGAGAACTCAGAAAGAGAATAAAAAAATGATTACAAGAATATTTCCGTACTTTTAAAATGATCTATTAGCAACTGACTGTAAAGTACAGCTGTGTGTAATCACACTGGAAAGACGAGGTTAAAAATCTTCAGACTATTTGCCCAGGTGGGAGGAAACCCACACCTCAGATCTGGAAGACTGCTGTGACAGCCCAGTCCAGGGTTAGGCACAACTTGATGGAAGAACTTGGCCTCTACGACCTCTGAATCTTCAAGCCAAGCACCCCAGGGCTTCTCATTGCTTTAGAGATTAGAGCAAGTGCTTTTGATTTTCCCCAACAGGACGTTCAAGAGAGGAGTGACACTGGCATTTCAAGAAACTCACTGGGGCTGCACCTGGCTTTTCAGCTTAGCAAGTCTCATGAGACAGTCATCCCTCCACTGCCTCCTGGCAGCTAAGTGCCCTGGGTCATCAGGAACCTTCAGACACAGGTCCTGGGAGGAGGAGAAAGCATAGGAGGAAATCAGTTGCCTGAAATGGAACTCTTTCCTAACTATGCTAACTGTGCAGATACTGCTTTCAAAGACACCAAGGCAGAGAAAACACAAGCTTTCCAAGTCTTGAGAGATTTTGGAGACAGATAAAGTGAGCTACTGTTCACAGGTCACATTGCTCATAAGTTCTCCTGGTGATCAGGATGAAAGTGTGGGCAAAGGCAGGAAAAGGAACTATCAAAATCAAGGGCCAAGGTTCCAGTTACCTGCAGGAGGCAGAAGGGAGGAAACAGCTGGCAATGTGATAGCCCACAGGCTGCTCTAGGCCGGGAGTCTACCTACCTGGTTAACTTTCTCCACTGTGGCCCTGGAAAATTCTGGAATGGGTCCAAAAGTCTTCAGGACACGTTTCATGCCTTCACTGTATCTGTCACAGTAGCTTATCATACCTGAAATGGTATGAACACAAGAATCCATCATATCAGCAAAAACATTCTGTGAACTGCAAACTAGGAGGCCTGTTTCAGGGGTTTTGCCCTGGGGAACAGGGTATCTACATTTTTCTCCTCCAGGCATAAAGGAAACACAGAGGAAGGAGATGAGTCAACCAGAAGGCTTGGAGCAAACTGGACCCTCCCAGTTCCTCTTCACACATGCTTTCTCTAGGAAACTTGAGCCCCGAGAAGTGCTGGCGTCATTCCTGGCCCACGGCCTCTCCCGGTCCATGTCGGAGGCACTCAGCAGGCCAGCATTCACATCTGACTTGCTGAACATCACTGTCCTCCCTCATTTATCAGAACCACCTCCTTCAACAATGGGTTAAGGTTATTTGTGTGCAGGCATGAACACATGTTCTATGAACCAATGATGTCCAAACTCAAGTCAACTCCTACTCATCCCACTCTCAAGGCACAAATCCAGTTACCACTTTCTCTGGTAGCTGCAGGGAAGCAGACAATTGCACACGGGGTTGCATCTTTCACTTGCTCAAGCTTGGGTGGAGGTGGCCTGTCAGAGCCCCGTGTATGTATCCTCTGGAAGCAATTCTTACACTGCAGGACTTTGGTAAAGAAACACCAAGAAGAGTTTTATCCGTTAGAGAGAGAAGGGAGAAGTGCAGCCATGCATGAGCAGACTCAGATGGGCACAAGGGGATAGCACAGGCCGGGTCAAGCTTTAGCACCTCCGGCAGTGCACACACAGCCATGGCTGCTCGACGTCCTCCCCTCCTCTCCATCCTGACTGCTGGGGCTGCTGGAGCAGAATGGAAACAAGAGAGAAGCCAGGCCTAAGATTCTGGAGGCACAGGAGTCCTGAAATCCTGCCTGCTCCAACTTTGGCCCATTTCTTTTTAATATTATTTTTTTATGATGCTGGGGATCAGTCCAGAGCCTGTGCATACTAAACATGAGTTCTGCCACTGAGCTCCACACTCAGGCCCACAAAGCCCTGATCAGCAGTGGGTCATTTCAGCCAAAAAAGATAACAAGGGCACAATTAAATTAGAGAATTTGCAGACACCCCCAAAAGCATGGCCCTCACCCTATGAAAACTATGATTACTGCAAAATAAAATGATCAGTGTTAGTCCTCTTAAAAAAAGACAAACAACTCCTTTTGGGTTTATTTTTTGACCTACATGATGTGTGTGCCTGAATTCACTGGGTTTCCATTTTAGCTCCTTCAAATAGTTTTCCTTCCCTCTCAGTGTGCTAAAAGTTTAAGAAAAGAGAAAGCCCAATTAATTTTCTGACACTAACACTTGAAATTACTCAGTAGATAATTTTTTAAAGAAATGGTTTTACTTCTTTTTATGTAAGTGTTAACTTGGCAACTCAGAATTCTGGAAATTTCTGTAACTGTTTTAGGGATGGCTGAAACCACCTCAGATGGTTTATCATTTCTAGAGACCAGAAAAAACAACCTAAATATTTATTTCCTTTCAGAAATGAAGCATTTACTTCACTTTTTCTATTTGCTCACTTATTCACACCCAAAATTATAAACATTTTGACACAAAGGCAGAAACACAAAAATGGAGTAAGCTGGGAAGATACTAAGTGAGAAGATGTGTGAGCTTTCTATCACTATGACAAAATACCAAAGGTAAGCAACTTAAAAAGAGGAAAGGTCTGTTTTGGCTTATGGTTTCAGAGGTTTCAGTCCATGCTCCCTTGGTCCTATTGCTCTGGACCTGATCAAGGCAGAACACCATGGTTGGAGTCCATGAGGAGGAGCTGTGTACCTCATAGTGGCCAGGAAGCAGACACAGGACGGGGCTAGTCTCCCAACATCTGCTCAAGGGTGCCCCCAGTAACCTCACTTCCTGCCACCAGACCCTACCTCCTAAAGGTGCCACCCTCCCCCAGGAGCACCACAGGCTGGTGACCAAGCCTTCCTCACATGAGCCTTCTGGGGACATTTAAGATCCAAACCTCCCTGAAACCATCTGAATTGCCCATAACTTTCTAGAACGAATTTTCCCTACTGCCTTTTGTGAAACTTTTAAGGGCACATTTGTTTATTTAACATAGAATAAAATATGGTAAAGCTGTTTAGAGTAAAACTTATCCCTCCGTTCAACAAAATTCTGAGTGGAAATTAAAATACCAATTCCATCAGAAATGGGGAAAACTCAACACAGTGCCTTCCCCTTTCATCCCACTAGCTGGTCCTTACCTATGTTCCAACCCAGTCTAGCCTTCCCTGCATCTTTCCTTCCATGTGTCCGTGCCCTCTGTTTGCTTGAGCTCTGCTCTTCCAAAAACCCTTGGAGAACTTAGCTTTTCAAAACACTCTGAACATAATTTCTGAAGAGATGCTTATATGGAAAAAGAAAAAAAATGGAGCCAGGTGTGGTGGTGCACACCTGTAATTGTAACTATGAGCCAGGTGTGGTGGTGCACACCTGTAATTGTAACTATGAGCCAGGTGTGGTGGTGCACACCTGTAATTGTAACTATGAGCCAGGTGTGGTGGTGCACACCTGTAATTCTAACTATGAGCCAGGCGTGGTGGTGCACACCTGTAATTCTAACTATGAGCCAGGCGTGGTGGTGCACACCTGTAATTCTAACTATGAGCCAGGTGTGGTGGTGCACACCTGTAATTCTAACTATGAGCCAGGTGTAGGTGGGAAGACTGATCCAAGGCTGGTCCAGAGCAAAAACGCAAGACCCTACCTGAAAAATTACTAAAGCAAAAAAGAGCTGGTGGCGTGGCTTAAGTGGAAGAGCACCTGCCTAGCAGTGTGAGGCCCTGAGTTCAAATCCTAGTACTGCATGAAAAGGAAAAAGAATGGAGTCTGATGAGACTCAGTTGAGCTTATCTTGGTGGTCTGGGATTCTTCAGCTGTGGAGCTGTGAAGCCACTGGTTTTCCTGACACTATTCTGGGCACACTAGTGTTCAGTTTCTTGGACAGCACTCTTGCTGCCCACACCAGATGAATCTGGTTTCACCCAGCTGATGACCCTCACCTACATAAATTCACCGGTTTTAAGAAACAGGGTTTCACAGAACTTATTAAAGCAGATGAAAAATGCCGAAAGCACAGAGCAATTGTTATCTACTACCCCTCCTGGGATCAAATTCCCAAACCTGAGTAAGGACTTGCCCAGGGCCCAGAAGGTAGAGCCAACCTGGAACCACTTCCCTCAACAAGTCCCCACCTTCAGCTCAGCTGTTTCCACAGCAAGTGACAGTCCCACACAGATGACCCCAAACCCACCAGGCAGGCATCCTGGCCAATCTAGCCATGAGAGGAAATTTCTGTGGCGAAATGGTAAACAACCAGTTCACCTGGAGGTGAATTCTAGGGGCTGGCAGATTCTGAGACACCGTTGTTCTCAGAAGAAAATACCAAGACAGCTCAGACAGCCATCCGGGACATAGTAGGACCATGACTTAGCAAAGAAACAAACCAGGCCCAACAAAAACTGTCCTCATCGTATTTATTCTGTATTTCTCTCTCATGTACATGTGAAACATTTGGGGAGAATTAAACAAACTGAAACCAAAAAAAATCCTATAAGAGCAATAAATTAAACAAGACGAAACTGCATGAAGGTAACATTTATTAAAGACCACACCACTCAGTTCTTCCTTCTGGCTTCATTCTCACACCTGGAAGGGATTGCTGTTGTTGTTCCTGCTTAGCAGTTGTGAAAACTGAGGTGCACTGACCCCAAGTTGTACAGCCAGTAAGTGGGAGAGCCAGGGCAAGGCCCCCACCATCTGGCCCCACCAGTTGGAACCACCACTCTCACAGCCTGTGCTTCATGGGGAATACATCGAAAAAGTAGCCAGAGGGGCAGAGCAAGCACCTTGCACTCCTGTTTCTTAGATGCTGCTTTCTTAGACTAAAAACAAATCCTAAAGTATTTGCACTAGTTCTAGATGAACAGTAGCTTCCAAGACTAAAATCACTCCTTAACTTGAGCTGCTTGGCTCTATGAAAACAGTATTACAAAACAGAAGCATTCCCTCACCTACCTATCGACTTCTGGCCAGATCTTCTAACTGTCCACCTGCAGCCTTGGAATGCTCTGAACTTGAATGCTGCATCCGTCGCATTATCACAGAAGCCAATTAGGTTTCTTATCATACCAGCTTTGTTTGAAAAACTGGGCCTCCTTCCTGTCTGCCACCCCACTCGACTCCTGAGTTTCTGTTGTCACTGGCTTCTGTTTCTATTTATTTCAGACTCAAAGCTATTCTCAGTTCTCTCCCTATTGATTTCTCATACCTCAACTATCTTCTTTTTCTCAAGAAAAAAAAAAAGAAAGTAAGTTATGGTGGTTTATCAGGCAGTGTCCATATCTACTTCAAATGCTTGAGTGTATTCAGCACTTAGAAGGTCCGGCTGGAACATCTGAAATCACCCATCATCTTAATGATGTTCTCTTAGTTCACTTGTACAAGGGCGTCTTTCTTCACTTGGTCTTCCTGTGACCACGGTCATCCTTTCTCATCATCTTTCAGCATGGTGGGGTGGCTGGGAGCCTCCTGTACTCCTTCAGCTACTTTTAGCAAAGTGTGATGTCAGGAAGACCCCCCCAGCACATATTGGACTACAGCACACATGGCCAGTCCACTCCTGAAATCATTTGCGTCTGCACTATGTAAGACGAGTCTAGAAAAGCTGTCCTTAACATTCACTGGAAAGTGAATATTATGCTTCCTTAACTACTCTGGGGGAAATTGAGATAGTACCAAAGCATGGCAAAATTACAGGCCTGAAGTCAGATCTATGAGGTCACTAACTCCACTTCCCACACCAAGCAGGAGTTCCTCTCCATGTGTGACTTTGGCCCCTCACCACTCACAGTACCACCTCCTCCTGGTCATCAGGTACTACAAACTTCTTCATGCCACATACCGAGAACAAACCTGTCTACCTGCCATGTCTAGTTTTTTGTTCTGGTCCTGACACACACACACACACACACACACACACAACACACACACACACCCCTGACACACACACACACCCCTGACACACACACACACACACACCCGTGACACACACACACACCCCTGACACACACACACACACACACACACACACACACACACACACACACACACACACACACACACACACACCCCCGTCACCCTTTTCCTGGATAAGTTACAGTTTCTCACTCTCCTTTGTTAAATGCAGACAATGGAGCTGTGACCAACATTTCTTTTCTCTTTCCACATATGTTTTACCAGTTAAAGATGTCACTGTTAAAGCAATATACAGTAATTGTATAAATGTATAACAATACAGAAAACCAAAAAGATAATAAAAATTTTTAAATGTTACAAGACCATAGGAAAAAAATTTTAAAAATAAAAATTACAAGGGCTGGGATACAGCTCAGTGGTAGAGGGCTCGCCTAGCATGTGTGAGGCCTAGGTTCCAACCTCAACACCACAAAACAAAAAATTTTATATTGTGCCCAGCATGGTGCCGCACAACTATAATCCCAGCACTGAGGAGGCAGAAGCAGGAGGAATGACAGTTCAAGGCCAGCCTGAACTACTGAGTTCGAAGTTATCCTGGGCTACAACAGAGAGATCTGTTTAAAAAAAAAAAAACTAAACTAAAAATTTTATTTTAACACCAAGAGATAGCCATGATATCTATGTGACTTCTTTCCAGATTTTGATGATAGCTTTTTTACTTACTTTGCTTAAATTTGGTATAGGTTTTATTGGTTAGTTGTTTTATAAACAACATCTTCTTTATGGATTGTTTAAAGTCTGGTTCAGGGAGTTTCATTCTTATCCTCCTCAAGTTCTTTCTTTAGGCGTTACCAGTCATGGGCTTCTGCTGACTTCCCCCAAGACTTCTGAGGTCAGATGTCAGGCACCTGCCTGGACAGCCCTGCTCTGCACGCCTGTACCAGCCTGAGTCCTGTGGCAGCACCTGCCTCATGGCTTCCCAGCCTGCCAGAAGGCAAAGCACACCTACCAGTTGCCCATACATAAGCCAAAGCCACCTCGGGCACTGGCTGTTTACACTCCTATCTTCTAATCTTTTTTTAATCCTTTTCTTCTTGCCTCCATAGACAACCTCATTGCCTTCTCCAGAAAAATTCCACTTTTCTTCCCATCATGCCACATCCCTCTCTTAGTTTCCCCCCAGGAGCTGCTGAACAATCAGAGCTCTGAGTTCACTGGTTCACTGTGGATCTATTCCTCCGTGCACAGCGCTCTGTGTTCCAGCCTATACCTGTGAGCTACCAGGGGCCATAGTCTCCCAGTGTGCCATTTCTACTCAGCTTAAAAAGACTGCTATAGAACCACGCAAATACTCACAGCACAGAACCCCATGCTCAACACTGGAGTCCCGATGCATACCTTCAGCATTCAGGTGCATCGTTTCCAGGGGTCCGATGAACGCATACCGCATGCCCAATCCGTCTGACATGACAAGGTCCAGGTCACTAGGAGACACTATTCCTTCCTATGTGGGGAGAAGCGGGAAGCACACAGATGAGTTCTCTGGAAAGGCAATGTCTCTGCTGCCGCTTCCATCCTACCTTCTTTAGGGTAATATCCCTTAAATACTCTCCAAAAGATTCTCTAGAATTGTATTTGCATTGAATTTGCACAACAGAGCTATCCTATATACATGGGTCCTGAAGAGATTATTCTATTAAATGGTCAAATACCCATTTCTCATCCCTGCAGTTAACCTGCACCCCCTGTCCTCCTCACCATGCCTGCCCTACAGCCCTACAGGATAAAGTATGGGAGGAAAAGGGCAAGAAGGATTTTCTGGATGTTTGCTTAGAAGGTGGGGAGTAAGTCTGAGACATCCAAAGATCTGGAAGGCACTATCAGAACTCATCTGCCTGCAAGTCTGGCCTTGTTCCATGTTCAATGAGTTTGTAAAAAGTACCGTATTTTGAAGAAGTGCAGCTTGGAACCATGGGTATGTGTGCCAAGTGGGGCTCTAGAATCTTCTGCAAACACACATGGCAAAGCCAGAGGCAAGTTGCTCTGCTCTTGGCTTAGGCATCCAAGAGATCACCTATGCTCCTTGGCCTATTTTTGATCCAGCCTCTCTCAGAGGGCACAGGGCAGGGGCACATAAATAAATCTCTGTATGATCTCTGGACCGACTGCCAGGCCATTCCCACCTGAGGTCCTCTGTACCTTAGACATTTCAACCGTCAGTTGTGAGGGCAGATGTGAGGGAAGCCATGACACTGGTCAGACTGGCAGCATTCCTGTGGGAACTGTAGCTCTGGTCTCCTTTCCTGAGCACTTTCTTTCATAGAGCACTGTTGGGCATGCTGTCTGTCAGAGGCCACTAGCTGTGCCACCTCTCCCTTTGGTAGTCCTCAACTGGGGGCCCCAGTTCCCACACCCCACAGGCACATCACATACCATGCACTTGGTTTGCAGTGACAGGCTGGGAGCCACCAGACATATCCCCTTCACTCTGGGTTTGGGTCATTCCCTGAAAGGGCTGCCTGATGTCCTACTTGAGAAGAATGTCCTCATCAGCCTGAGGGAGGGCTCTGAGGGTCAGTTTGGCTCTCTGGGCCATAGGGAGGCATTTTCTGGCCTTCAGGCAGCCCAGGATGTTTGGGCCCTGAGGTTGGAGCAGTCTAGTCTGTCCTGGCTTGCTGGTACTTCCCACTGCCTAGACTTCAAAGGCAGCCAGAGACCCTCGATGCTTTAGAGAGAAAAGCTGCCACCTGCAGGTCTCAGGAGCCTCAGGTCTCCCTGGGTGTCTGGACCACTCCCGGTTGTCTGAGAGTCCATGGCAAGACCGACTGGGGAGGATGGAGCTGAAGAGCCAAGATAAAGACAGAGCCCACCATCTATGAAGGGCAAGTATGACCTATGCCCAACTGACCAACTCTACTCCTAAGAGTCACTTTCCATGTAGCAGGCAAGTGTGTGCATGCGTCTGTGAGACACACACAAAACAGACACCTGCGTAGGTCACACACAGAGCCAGCATGCCCTCCTTCCTAGAGACAGACACCCTGACTTCCACTGCCACTTCTCAGCCTTCGAAACTGACCATCTATGTCTACATTCAACAGGAGTTTGCTTTTGGCCTATTTCTAATATTCCAGCTCATGGAGCCAAGAGATATGCATTCTTGTGCTACTTGCATCTGTTTCTCAGTATATTTATAAGATGCACACAGGACTGGGCATTTGGCTCCGTAGCAGAGCACTTGCCCACTATACCCAAGGCCCTGGATTTGATCTCTAACACCAAATAAATAAGCACCTGTGCTGTATGTATCTGTAATTTTTCCATTCTTGTTGATGTACAAAAGTCACAGCTGACTATCCATCCTTTTGCTTGTGAACATCTGAGTTGCTTCCGGTGTGTGGATTCTGTACACAGGACAACAGAGAACATTCTGGAACACATCTCTGGTCCATGTCCAAGTGGAATAGCTGGGAACGACAGCAGGCCACCCTCCATCTTCCGCTTTATGAGGCAACACTAAGCAGTTCTCCAAAGCAATGTCTCATCGTCACTGCCTCTGGCACCATGTGCAGAGTTCTTCCCACCATTCTGTGTCCTCCTGTCACTGGGTGATGTCATGCCTGCTGAACTATGCTGATCTGCTAAGGTGCGATGGTGTCTCACTGCACTTCTTGTTAGTTCTCAATCATCCTACCATGGGTTCAGTTGAACTGCCAGGGATGGCAAATAACTTATTAAATGCTGACAGGTGTCTCTCCTTTCAGTTCTCAAAACAGAGCGGTAAGGTCAGAGGGGCACCGCAGAGGAGGAAATCATTCACAGAAGGCCCACGGTCCTGCACAGAACCACTGAGAAACCCATCAGATGGAAAACTACCAATCCCACCTGCCTGTCCCTGCTTCACAAGCACTCAGGGCAGGAAAAGTGGCTCTGGCCTTTCTCCAGGCTGCCTGGTGGCTGGGCTGTGTGTTTCTGCACCCTGTGGGCTCTGGAATGCTGTGAAGGGCAGCCAGGCATGGCTCTGAGGACACCCCTCAGAATCAGTTTCCAGGTCAACATTCCAAAGTCTAAAGTTTTCACTGTAGCCTTCAAACTGTGAAGGATGCAAATACGGAAGTCACCGTACACTCACAGTGCTGTTTGGCTTGACATTTTTCTTTACAGTTGGAGTTGGTATATTTAGAGCTGCTTATAAAGGGATTTCAAAATATACAAAAGGTGAGCCACTCAGAGTAGTTAAGTTTTGTTTTGTCTTTGCTGGGGATCAAACCTAGGACTCATATATGCTAGGCAAGTGCTCTCCCACTGAGCTACAGCCCCCGCCCTGGAGTGACTGCATCTTGACTCATGTCATCTCGCTAACTGCACCCTAACTCCAGCTTGAAATAGGGGAGAGCATCATTGGAGGCGACACACACTCTCCAATTCCCAGATGTTCTCCTCACCTTCCGATTTCATCTAAGGGAGGGGGTCTCTTTTTTATTAGTCACTACCCCCAGTAGGACAAGTTAGGATAGGAAATAACCTTGATATATTCACTTCCGCATTTCTTCTTACCCTGCTTAGAATTTCTAAAGGATATTTCTCAACAAATGTGTTTTTACCAAGAAGCTAAATCCAGAGAAAGAAAGCAACCATGGGTAATTCAATTCCTTGCTGACTGAAATTTCACAATGCCAAGGCAAAAATGTGAAGCTATATTCAGCATTGTGATAAATGTTTCACATTCAGTGTGTGTTGAAACTGTTTTGCTCCTGAACTCAACTCCAGCCAAAGCCTATGGTATCTGTTACCTAAATTATCCTAACAATAAGAAAAGGCAGAAACAGTGTTAATGTTGAAACACTGGACTGCCTGACATTTCTGGGGAGATCAGTGGAGTATGGCACACTTGTTTGAAGGCTGCACCCCCACCCAGAGGTAAAGCATTTGTCTGAGCAGTTATCAGTACTTCCTTCATATTGCGGCAAAATTCTCAAGTCATGTGTACAAAGAAGAGTTCTAAGAGGTTAAGAGATTCCTAAAAACTCATATACAGCAACACACTAAGATCATGGTTAGTTCAAACCCTGCTTTTGTAACCATATCATGAACAATCACAGGGGAAAAAGGCCCAGGTGGAGGGGCAAGGAATCCCCTTTCATTGGAAAGCTTCTTGCCTCTTCTTTCTTGAGCTAAAATCAGGGACTTACCACAAACAACTGACACACACAGGGCCCAGGCACATGCTTTGCTAAAATTCCATGCCCAAGCTGGGTGTGGGGGAGGCCACGAGACAGTTACAGTAAAGTAAGAGATGATAAAGATAGATAGTATATGAGGTACTCAATTACTATGATCCACATTTTAAGTATAATTAAAGATTTAGGGATGTATCAGTCAGGGTCCTTCCAGAAAAATCTGTGGATACTCAAATTCCTGAATTAAATTGTCAAAGAAATTGCATAAAACCATATACATCCTTCCATATTCTTTCAATCACCTCTAGATGACCTTGAGCACCTAAGGCCATGTAAACGGTATAAAAATAGTTTTTATGCCATATCGTTTAGGAAATAATGATAAGAAAAAAAATCAGTCATTTTCAGTACAGATGCACATTTTTTTCCACAGCTGGTTGAATCTGTGATCCGCAGGTACAGATAGCTCACTGTATTTGAACAAACGTCTAAGTGTGAAGAGATTTATTTCAATGAACTGGCTTAAGTGGGTGTGGGATGGTGAGTGTGAAATCCTAGCACAGCTCTCAGGAGGGAAGGCTGGTCACCCTGCAGGCCAGAGTTGGCACTTCTTCAGGGAAGACTCATTTCTGCCTTCCAGACTTTTCAGGCAATGGGATGTAGCCCACTAGACTATAGAAAATAATCTCCTTTATTTAAAGTTGATTAATCTATAAAATATCTCCACAGACAGAGTCAGACTGTGCTTGACGGAACAGCTGGGCACTCTGGGCTGGCCAAGTCCAATTCTGTAAGGAACAAAAGCTCAAAGCCTGGTTTTCACCCTTAGGCATTTAGGATCTGCCACTTTTGCTTGGGGTGGGGAGAGGAATCAGCAAGATTTACCTAATGATTAACAATGAAATGATGGTGGATCTGGTCCTCTGATAGACCCAGAAGACAGGAGGCAGGTGATGGTCTCACTTGGATTCAGTGGACAGCGTTTGATGAAGGAATGCCTGACTGAGCTCCAACTACTCAGAATCATCTCTCCTCTCTAATCATCCCATGCTTCCAATTTTCTTATTCAATCCATGTAGTTTCTACATGACTTTTCATTTTTTCTCATTTTTCTTCATGCCACCTTCCCTTGTCTAATTCTTCTTTACTAATTCCCAGTTTTTTGTTTTGCTTGGCATTTCCTCCCACTAGGTCCCAAATCTAAAGTTTTTGTGTGCAAATACTCCTTTAACTCCGTCACTCCCAGGAGCACAGATTCTCCACCCAGGAATGCAGGTGAGGTTCCAAATGAATCCCTACACCCCTCCTCCCCCTGCCTCTAGGT